TGTGCTACGGGATCCTCTTAAGGTCTTGTAGACATCTAAAAGATATCTTACTGAAGATATCTTCAAGATATTTCTAAGGCCCGTTCCCACAGTGGCTAGTTAGCTTAACCCATGGACGTAAGAATATATGGACGGAGCGTAATGTAGGATTTAGGACGAGGGGACCCAAGCGAGCGCGGTGAGGGGAAATTGGGTGGTGGCCATATGTGATGACTAGGTGATTGTATAGGACGCCTCGTGGCAGTGCTGCCGTGAGCGGCCTTTGGTCGCACTGTCGCATAGGGAGGGGATGACGCACACAAGCGAGCGACCGTGTCCGTGTGCGAACAGACACGGTCGCTCGGACAGCACTGCCTCGTGGTAGTGTCGCCGCCATATGTGATAACTACTTTTCCCCTCACTGCTCTGGCTCGGCCCCCGCTAACTTAAGCCCGCTGCAGACGATGCTATTTTTCCTGCTGGATTGCTTGCAATTTAGTAAATTACTAGGAATCCTGAATGCTGAGTGGTGCAATGATAGTAATTTACTAAATCGCAAGCAATCCAGCAGGAAAAATAGCATCGTCTGCAGCGGGCTTTACACTCCGTCCATATATTCTTACGTCCATGGCTTAACCAGTTGTTAAGTAGTGATACCAACCACTGACACAAAATTCGGTAAGCTATTTACAAGGTTATATATATGTATATATACACTATATGTTGTACATATACATCAATATATCAATCACAAATATATCAATATATATGTATATTGTTTAAGCTTATTTGCGAAAATGCAACTTGTCAAAATCTAACCTTGAATTCGGTAAGCTATTTACAAGATTAGATTTTGACAAGTCACATTTTCGCAAATAAGCTTAAAAAATATACATATACATATATTTAATCACTGAAATAATTAATTTCCAGTTTCATCCTCATTATTACGATACCTCATCGCATAATAAAAATGGATATAAAAATAGACCGTATACGAGCACCAAATTTTTGTCAAGCTGAAAAACTAGCACTTGTATCATTAATAAAAAAATACAAATTGATATAAAATAAGCGGACTGATGCTGTGAGTGTTAAAGAAAAAGAAGAGGCTTGGCTAAAGATATTGGACGAGTATAATCAGCAAAGCAACTGTCGCCCTCGCGAATTAGGAAACATAAAAAATTTCTGGATTAATGCTAAAAAGTTGTATGCACCAAGAAGTTGTATGCAAAAAATAAAAGGGAAATATATCTCACTGGTAATATAATTAACATTAAATTATTTTGGCGCTTTTGATCACGAGCAAGAATTTATTTTTATCATATATTTGTTAGGTGGTGGATCTTCAAATATTGTGAGTGATGTTGTGGCCGATGCCGTTTATGAAATAATTGGACCATCCATCGATGGACTGATCAATCCGTTTGATTCTGACAAGCATATTTCGAATTATGTAGAAACGCCATCAACTGTAACAAATCTACTAGATAATGATATGGAGAATGATGATCCAAATCATACAAGTGTTTTCCAGGTTTGTCAATATCATACAATCTTTTTGTTTATTGTTATTTTATATGTAGAAACTTACATTATTTTAATGAGATACAAATATTTTCAGCATTTAGTAAAAAGTGGAGAAGTGAAAAGTTGGGCGGAATATAATCCTCAAAAATTGAAAACCATCATCAGTTCCCCGCTTTCCAATGCAAAAGAAGGTGTTCAGGATAAATATAAGCGCCAAAAAATGGTCGAGTCAACAAAAACTGAAAATATTTGTATCTCATTAAAATAATGTAAGTTTCTACATATAAAATAACAATAAACAAAAAGATTGTATGATATTGACAAACCTGGAAAACACTTGTATGATTTGGATCATCATTCTCCATATCATTATCTAGTAGATTTGTTACAGTTGATGGCGTTTCTACATAATTCGAAATATGCTTGTCAGAATCAAACGGATTGATCAGTCCATCGATGGATGGCCCAATTATTTCATAAACGGCATCGGCCACAACATCACTCACAATATTTGAAGATCCACCACCTAACAAATATATGATAAAAATAAATTCTTGCTCGTGATCAAAAGCGCCAAAATAATTTAATGTTAATTATATTACCAGTAAGATATATTTCCCTTTTATTTTTTGCATACAACTTCTTGGTGTCCTTTTTAGCATTAATCCAAAAATTTTTTATGTTTCCTAATTCGCGAGGGCGACAGTTGCTTTGCTGATTATACTCGTCCAATATCTTTAGCCAAGCCTCTTCTTTTTCTTTAACACTCACAGCATCAGTCCGCTTATTTTCTATTATCAATTTGTATTTTTTTATTAATGATACAAGTGCTATAGTTTTTCAGCTTGACAAAAATTTGATGCCGTATACGGTTTATTTTTATATCCATTTTTATTATGCGATGAGGTATCGTAATAATGAGGATGAAACTGGAAATTAATTATTTCAGTGATTAAATATATGTATGTATATTTTTAAGCTTATTTGCGAAAATGCGACTTGTCAAAATCTAACCTTCTAATAGCTTACCGAATTCAAGGTTAGATTTTGACAAGTTGCATTTTCGCAAATAAGCTTAAAAAATATACATATATATATTGATATATTTGTGATTGATATATTGATGTATATATACAACATATAGTGTATATATATATATATAATCTTGTAAATAGCTTACCGAATTTTGTGTCAGTGGTTGGTATCGCTACTTAACAACTGGTTAAGCTAACTAGCCACTGTGGGAACGGGCCTAAAAAGTCTAAAAGACGTCTAAAACATTTCTAAAAATATATCTTCAAGATATTTCTAGAAGATATCTAAAAGATGTCTAAATAAAGACATCTAAAAGACTTAAAAGATATCTTTGAAATATTTATAATAGACATATTAAAGATATGTAAATAAATGAGTTACACATTAATACTTAAAAAATGTGTTACGTACATTGATATATTATTAGTTGAAATACGCAGAATTCTATTAATCTAATGTATATGCCATTTTTATATTTCCGATCCAGAATTCGCCCTGATAGGTTAGGAAATGTGTCAAGGCTCGTCTAGACGACAAGGCGTAAGGCGCAGCGCAAGAGCGCGAGCACAGGCGCAAGAGGATTTTTCCCGATCATAGGGTCGTGGCGCAAGCGAAATAACCCAGGTAGCAATATTATAAGTTATCGCTTTAAGGTTGCCTTTAGGATTTTACTATAAGATAACCAATGTATGTTTTAAAATTGGTATCTATTTTACTGTTGTCTTATTATTTTAGGTTATATTGAAACGTTTGCTGTACATTATCGTATATGTGCTCTGGAACTGTTCAGTTATTTCGAGACACTTCTGGCAGAGGACGAGGAATGTCGGCAGTGCTTTCGACAATTTCGCAGCTTGTGCACGATCCTTTTAGTGCCGATGGAGGGTATAGGGTCGGCGACAGTGCCAAAAGTATACAAAGTATTGTCGACCGCGACACGAACGTTGCGCGGAAGTACGGATACGCGGGAGGTCTTCGATCAGCACCGCGAAGATATTCGAGCCTGTGCTCGCTTACTGGGAAAAGCGCGTGGACACCGACAAGAGCACGCTGGAGCGTTTGCTCGACACTGGCGTCTTGCAGGAACTAATGAATTTGTTTGTACACATGAACAGAGATGAATTTTACTCCACGCACGTGTCGGTAAAGTGAAAGTCGTGCCTGGACAAACTCTGTACAGTTAAGAGGGACTTGTACAACACCGTGGTGATGAAATGCAGATTCGTCAGTCTAGTATGTAAGTTTCCCGTTAAAACTCTGCCGGCGAAAGCGTGCGCTGTTACTAGGAAAATTATGAAGCGGAATGTCGAGTGGGTCATTCGTGAAATGAAGGAATCCGAATCTTGAAATTATCTTGCAAAAAGTACCGAGTTGACCGCGCGCGCTGTATCGTTGCCGTTCGTCGAGCCAACTGCCTCACGTTCAACGATTTCTTGCAGCCGAGGAGGTGACAAAGTCGAGCTTCCGCCGCAAGGTGTGGGACTACATGACGAAGAATGAGCTGGTCAACTTCCCCGTCAACATATACAAGCGTATACCGAATTTCAAGGGCGCCGCGGAGGTGGCGCAGTGGCTGATCGAGTTGGACGTGTTTAAGAAGGCAAGAGTCATCAAGATAAATCCAGACAAGCCGCAGGAGCCAGTGAGGTTCTCGGCTCTGGAGGCCAACAAGGTAAGCGCTGGAGACAATCGTGGAACACGTGTCACAATTTAACTTACAACGTAGGCGTAAGTACTGTCTGAACATGTGTACGAGGAAAGCGTGTGTTTACTGTTTGTTCACCTTCTTGTGCAGTTGCATCTCTCCACTCGACGGAGTCGAACCGAGCCCTACAGATTCTGGAGAGCTTCAGGAATCTTGAGAATATTATCTCTTTCGTGCTGGACAGATTGAGCGTTGTATATTACAGCAATAATTTGTATAGGAAAGCTGCGACTGTGTGCGCATTGAATGCCTTGTTAACGTCCCACACAGCATCGAAATATTTCAGAAAGCTCTCAAAAAGCTGTCAATGAAATATGAAACCTTTCAAAAAAATATTTCAGGCATATTTCAGACATGTTTCAGATACATGAAATGTCCGCGAAGCTGAGATATCATAAATGTTTCTGAAATATTT